TGTTCACACTGCTGTGTTTTCTGTGATGTGCAGTGATCTCTGTTGGACGCAGCGCAACACTGCACCTCGGCGGTGACGCGTCGGGCTTCGTGTGTTTGGAACTTTACAAACACATTTTTCTTTTTAAAAACATTTGTATTTTTTAAACTATTATTCCGTTTACACGATTATATCAAAAGCAACAACAAGCAGTTGTTTTTGTTGGTAGTTTTTGTTTGACTCGTGACTCGTGTAGTGAGTCGGACCTGACGGCACAGTTTGAGCAAATCTGAGCCTGGAATTTAAATCACAATCTTACAAATTCTCCGGGCCTTTCAGAAACATTGCCAATAATTAAAATATAAAAACATATATTTTAAATAGATTATTTTTTATATTTTTGTAGTGATAAAAGAGCTTGAAGTTTCTGCAGTCGTCCTGTCCTTTCTTATATCCGTGGAGCCTGCAGGCCTTCACAGCTTCTCAGTCTCTCCAGACGCTGCACGAAAGCAGGGATTCTGCAGAACAAAAGTGTGAAACAAAACAGGCAACAAAACGGTTTAACATCTATAAAATAACATTATCCCGGTCATTTACATCACAACGCAGTCGTTTAAGGCGCAGAACTTTAATGGCTGCGGCTCACAGAAGAACGCACGCCTGTCATCGAAATAAATCAACAAAATAAAACATTATTTATTTTCGAAATGTCTCTTCTTGGTGAAGTAATTCTTATAAATATTACAAATTAACGTTTTTATTCCTAAACCTGACTGGGTTGCATTAAATAGTACACATCGCCATTTTTTAAACTTCTTTTCAAACTTTCTAAATTTAAGAATAAAACGTTTAGCGCATCTTGTGTCGTGCCCCAACTTTCAAATAAAAATAAATAATAATAATAATAAAAAACTAAAGCTTAAAGTTCTTTAAAATGCATCAGGGTTTAAGGGATTGGACCCGTTGCTCCTATTTTGTGCATTAAATATGCAAGTCCTAACAGGGGCCCCAGCAATGTTGGACATAATGAAAAAAAGAAAGAGACAGAGCCCAGTGTTGGCAGGATTAAAAATAAAGAGTGCGCTGATAGAATCAGAGATTTACTGCGGGCTCTTCAGCTTTAAGTCTGTTATTTAACTCCACTTTCACCAAACAGCAGCAATTCCAACTCTTTATTTCTTAGACCCAATAGTGAACTGTGAAAAAACTTGCTGTGTTCGAGTATTATAGTAGTATATTTAAGCATGAAATGTAGTACGTTTTTGACCTTGTGAAAAAACTTGCTGTGTTCGAGTATTTAAGCATGAAATGTTGAAATGTTGAAATGTTTTTGACCTCGTATAGAAGTCATGACTCAAGGTTTTTATTGTGGAGATAAAACTGAAGCATTTGTACTGTTAGGCTAAAATCCACTGAAGTCATTTCCACCTAAAGTGGACTTTGATACACAGAAAACACACAAGGGCATTTTTTTTAACCTTCCGGTTTTCTGAAATAGTATGTGGTAAAATGTTTTCTTTCTATGATTCTATGAAGTATTTTTGCATTTACTCAACAGAAAATGTGGTTTTAATGCTGTGAAATCTGTGCAGTTTTTTTTTTCAACAGAAAACTTGCAGAAACAGCTGCTGTGGGCAGTTTCATTAAGTCAAAAACAACCTACTAGTTCATTTTATGCAAATATGAGAAAAGGGAAATAACAGTATGACTTTTAGTGATCCTACAAATTTGAACTATTGAAGTCCCCGAGTATGAACATACATAACTCCCACGGGACTTTTTGAACGGTCAAATTGTATGAGAGTTCTAGAGGAAGACAGGACGGCAGACTGTTATTTGTGTGTACCGTGTAGCAACTCACTCCGCTCTGTTGCACGTTCTGCACATCCCTTGGTGGCTGCGTGGAGTTGCATCAACTTAATTTAACGTTGGATCTCCACCTGGGAGTGGGAGACATAGGGAGAGGTGGTGGTGATTGAATGGAGGTGGTGAAAACAAGTGTTTTGGTTGATTTCTGATGCACTCTGACCGTTTTTATTTGTGCTGGAGACAAACACACCCATCAGGCTCCTTCTGTGTGTGTGGAGGTCCGGATTTTCACTGTGAGGTCATGCATGAACGGGCCCTACACACACACATGCACTCGTACAAAGGCCCAACAGGTCAGTGGAACTGAATGTGAGTCAGAACTTTGTTTGATTATTTCTCATTTTTTGTGTTTACACCTGTGTAGGTGTGGTGAGAGGGTGACTGCGGTTATCTAGCCTTACTAACATTACTTAACATTACTAGACAAGTCAATTTAACACATTTGTTTGAATGAAGTTTAAAGTTTTAACATTAGAACTTAAAGTAAAACGATCCATTGCCGTTTTAGCCAAACTTGAATGATAACCTGTTAAACTTATTGAGGCTTTGCAACAGATTTTCTGAATTCTACAAAGAAGGAATTCTGTGATGGAGTCACTAGTGTAAACATTGCACTCTAGTGCAGGATATTCATGAATATACATTCATTTAATGATTTATCGTAGGATTTTTTTTGTCTTCCTTTTAAGTAAGCAGCAAGTTTAAACTCCTCTCTACTTTGGTTAAATGAGGTTTAGTATTTACTCCTAACTCTCGCTGACTGCGGTCCATGTCTGGTCCTGTCAGTCTGTGCCGCTTGTCACTCTCTTCATATTGAGTTTAGCCCCATTGCCTATGAAGGGGCTTTGATACATAAAGTAATTGCCGTGCGTGTGGTTTTGCTGTCGTGTCGTGGGCTCGGCTTGCTGTCAAGTCCTGGCAGGGTTCATGCTGTAGCTCCCCCTTTGAATTGAACCATGAGTATAGGAACATGTTGCAGAGAGCATTATGGGAGTGTGTGAGCGTGGTAAGAACTCTGTCTTGTCGAACGGACACGTCTTTGAAAGGAGCGCCAGTAATGGCTGCTCTTGATAACACACCATGTATGAACTGTGCTTATCTAGAAGGTGAGTCTGCCCGACCCACATCCCCCCCTCACACACACACCCCTCCATTGGTTCTAGGAGTCAGACTACTGCTCCTGTCCATGATGGGGGCAGTTCTGGATGGTTGCTCCTCTTTTTATCTGCACGCCACAGGGGTTGCTCTTGTTTCCACCTAGGTGACCCATTCACTCTTGGCTGCCATTGACCTCGCCCTCCTTCCTTCCCTCAATAGCCAAAGAGACCACCTGGTTCTACAGGGCATCCATCGACAAAAGAGCCGGCACTGCTGTTTGCACACATTAGTTTGTTGAAGGCAGCGGGATAGCAGAAATAGAAAAAAAGTAGACTGTGAGCTGCTTTCGTTGTGTGGTTGTGACAAGCTCAGCTGTGCAGTCGCAGATAATTTCCATCTCCCCTTTAGAAAAGAATGAAACTCTCAGACAATAGGCAAATGTCGCCACAGCAGCAGCTCCTCAGGGATAGTCAGTATTGATTGGTCAGGCCTGATTGGAGGTAATGTGGGGAGATGGGTTAAGGGCCTCGGACTGGGGTCAGATTCATGTGTGCTTGCTGACAGGTTCTGTGTGTTGGCCATCTGCAGAGTTGCACAAAGCTGCTGGAAGCTGCAAACCCCAGTGGGGGAGTTTATAGCTGCTCCTCCCTGAAAACAATGCTGTGACATGACAGTTTTACAGCTGTGCAAATGAGACTAATTTTCTTGATTATGATTTGAAAACAGCGCTACACAAAATTACACATCACTGCAGTGTTAATGACTCTAAATCACTGGAAGCTAAAAGGAGGGGAAAGTTGAATTCAGATGATTTGATGCTGTGCTGCTCTGATTGGTCCCTGATTCCAGTAACTCCACAGCTCTACAGGGACTGAACGCCCGGTCAGCCAACTGTACAGCTGACAGCAGGTTCACAGCCTCAGCTTGAATCCTCAGCTGTACACACCAACATAAAAACAAGCTAAAAGTCTGAAACTGTGCCCCTTAGATTGCAAACCTTCCTCCCCCTCACCCCCCCCCCTCCCCCCTCCAAACACCATACCTCAAATCCCTTCTTTATGAAGTGCATTTCCCGTTTCTCCAGCTGTGCACTGTAGTGTCACATGTCATGCTTGGCTCGTCCAGTTTGGGGCTGGGCTCAGTGCAGGCCTCGTTGACCATGAGTAGCCTGCTCTTCCTGCTGCCTAAGCTAGCATGGCCTGTCCAAAAACAGAGAGTAAGCAGGGGGTGAAGGAGGAGTGAAAGGGTGGCTTTTATCTGCAATTATGACCCGTTAATTGTGAAAGAGGAGACCCCTGAATGGGGGAGTGGCTGTGCTGCATTGTCGGGGCCTGCCAACCTGCCTCCTCTCCTTCTGATTGTGTCCAGTGAACACTACCCACAGTAGTGAGGACAATATGGCCGACACAGACAGGAACCTCCTGCTGCAGCTGAGAGAAGAAGCCGCAGAGCTTGACAGGAAAGTGACTGTCAAACATTCACACACTGCTGAATTCACCCACGTTGACAATGCAACCCACACATTTTTGTTTTAGAACCTGCACTCTACTGTTCGTGTTCCTAGCCTGCAGCAGGAAACATGTGGCTGTGACTAGAG